GTCTCGTGCGTTGCAGATGTCACCCCATCGCAAGGCAGTTCCGATAGCGGTGTACAATTACGGTAATTACGGTCGCTGCAATTCTTCACTGTAAATCTTTCGCCAACATGTGGCTCGAATTGGCAGAAAAGGATCGAAGATGATCGAAGGCCTTCTCGGTCGTTGGGACGGGCAGGTCAGTACGATTATGGCGCTGCGCAAGCACCAGCTCAGCCCCCAGGTGCGAGGGTACTTCTGATGGCCGCTGGATTGCCGCACGTATTTGTTAAAGCCTTTCCTGAGCGGCTTCATCAGTCCTTTGTGTGCTCGGCTGCAGCTGTGGTGGGGTGGCAGGAGATGCTGTTTAAATTTACTTCATCTCAGGGCAGGTCCATACGGCTCCTACCCACCAGGCGGGTAGTTGAAATCCAAGAAGAACACAAGATCACCCGGTCAGCTCAACCTCTAATCGCGACTCTTGCTTAGCCCGCGCTCACAAAGCTGCTTTCGCACATGCCCTATCCAACTCATCGTGATCATGCCGCCTTCAGCAGGCCCTGGGGCAGCACTGTCGGCCAGGCCAGGGGAGGAGCTGCGACGGCCCCTGCGACACAATCTAATAGCCGCACCGGTCAAATCCTTGCATGAAAGAGAAGGCTATGCCAGGGACAGTGCTGCAACCTTCCGAATGAAGCCTCTCACGGCGCAGGAGCCTCCCCCAACGACCGAAGCAGCCGGAAGCCAGGCCTGCCACCCTCGAGATTGTGAAGCTAGTTCTTGTGTTTGAGGTTTAGCCTAGCAGGTATCAGACCAAGACTTGTAGCAGCTGGCTGCAGTAGTGGTAGCAGTAGTAGTGGTAGTAGTAGTAGCAGCAGCAGCAGCAGCAGGAGGAGTAGTAGTAGCAGCAGCAGCAGGAGGAGGAGGAGTAGTAGTAGTAGTAGTAATTCTTAGTAAAAGTCCCGAAGTAGAAGTAGCAGAAACAGGAATCATACTAGTTACAAGTATTGTCGTGATGCAACACAAGCATGATTTTTGCTGGTCAGCAGTGCACAGAGTGCGGGTGGGCATTGCTGACAAAGTGTATCGGCGACTATTTGCAGTGCTTGACACAGCCGGCAAGTTTTATCTCGAACCACAGAAGGCCATGCCCAGATGGCCCAAAACAATCAGTTGCTGTTGATTCGCCTGTGGCCTTGGGTCCTTTACAATAGTGAAATACGGCGATAGGCTGCTGCGAGCTCCGCTTCCGGCGATGCAGAGACTGCCGAGGCCCACATTGTCATACACAGCCAGGACAAGTGCGAGGTACTCGTAGGTGGTATCGTAAAACAATGCAGGGAAGCTGGTCCTTTGTCCTGGGAGCAGCTTTCGACAATTCTGGCAAGGCCGAAGCCCCTGTGGAGGAGGGTGGCGAAGTGCAGGACTGACACATGTACGACAAAAACTTGTTTTGAGGCGGTAGGAACCATACGTCGAACAGTTTCGCTGGCCTCGTGCAGCATGAGCGACATCAATTTGGATTTAATTCGGTGACCGAATCTGGCACCAGGCGATGCCGCCCGAGGAGTTCTACGATGAATATCCTCCTGAGGACTATCCTCCTGAAGATTATCCTCCCGAGGAGATGTATCCAGAAGAATTGCCTCCAGAGGAGGCTGCAGTTTCATTCGGGACTCTGGAAACGAGCTGAGCTGTGTTGTCAAAGTTGTGTGGCTGCAAACCCAAGCCGAACAGCCCGAAGTCTCCACACCTGGGAGGCAGCAGAGCCACAAGCCCTCGTGATCCAAGTTCCCGGAATAAGCAATCACCTCTACGACGCTGAGTTGCAAGAATGGGGGGGGTGCCGGGGATTTTCAAGGAAGCCAAGGTTCAGTTTGATTCGGGCGTGTGCCAACAGCGTGCTTCGCTTTACTGGGATAGCTTGCAGAGCGGCCTTCCACGGTCACTTCGCATGAATGTTTGGCATGGCCGATGATCATCTTTTGCATGCGTCACTTCATGGCAAGCCGCTTCACGATTACGGTTTGCGTTGCTGACGAGTCTGTCTGTCCAGGCGGGGTGCATGCGGTTTCATGTCGAAGTCGTTCCGGTTTGCCAGGAAAGCTACCCGACCGGAGCGATGCTTGGCAGCTTGCCCGCCTTTACTCCGAGCTGTGGTTTTTCCTGGGCCTAATCACTCATTAGTCTCAAAAGGTCAGACAGGCTGGACCTTTCATCTTGATTAGTTGTCTGCCCCCTAAGCGGCCCGGACAACCCATTGCCGAACCGCAGCTTGCCCATCAGAAGTATGGGCCTTGGCTCAGGACGCAAGGTCACGGCATTTGGTTGCTAGTTCGTCGGGCGAAGTACAATGTTCCCAACACGGCATCATGCAACTAATTGTAAGGGTGTTCAATTGCGTGCATATGGTTCTGTGGCTGGACACTGGTAGAACTTCGCTACAGGTGAGCCACCAGAATTCAGAAAAGAACACTTCAGAAGGAAGGGGCAGGCAAAATGGAATGACAGGCACTAAAAAGATAATGTTCCAGCAGTCAGCAGAATCGCAGAACCGAGTCTCGGAGCCTCCCTTGCATTCCAAGATGGCGCACGTTGGCACAGTTTTCACCAGCAGCGTGCTTTGTTTCGTAGCGGACGCTGCGCCAAGGCCAGGTCCAGATGAGGTCATGAATTTCAAAGCCCACCAGGTCCTACACTTGTTCGACTTGATTTCTCTTGTCCAAGTTTGCCAGACCACGCCTATTGCCAGAGCAAGGGCGCGTGAGGTCATGACCCGCTTGAGGCTGGAGGCCATGGAACGCCTCAGGATCAGCCTTCCGAAGCTCCCGTCCATGGGGCGCGTCGTTTTTCACCTAGTGTGCCCCGAGCCGGCTTTTGCATTTAGAGCCATGGGCTCCATGCTGGAGCTGGGGAAGGTGTTCCACTTGGGCGGGGCGGTGGCTAAGAAAGCTGAGAGGGCAGCTGCTTTTCTCGAGGGGCTTTATGAGCGCAGCTGCAGACTGATGAGGGTCAGGGAGGCCATGTTCCTGGACACGGTGGGGGTGGTGCAAGCTGAGATTGCGGAGCCCCCCAAGGAGGAAGATCGCCTCATCCTCGACATCGAGGATTATTTGTTTGATTATGGTGCCCTGGCGGTAAGCACAGGCGTTTTTGCATGCAGACTAGTCATGAGTGGATCTCAGTAACACACGTAGTCAACAGGAAGGCACTGAAATGCGAGTGCAGTGCAACATGCATGTTAGCGATCACAGCACTAAAAATTGCATGAAGCGGCCCCGTCCTTGCACACAATCCTATTCGGAGCTACGCACCCGAAGACATGGCGCTGTTTGTTGTGAGCAGCCACCGCCGGCCAAGGTGCCTTAGACCGCGATCTACCTTTGTGCTCCGAGTTGCGCTTGCTAGTAAGGCCAGACGAAGCTCCAGGCCACTTTCGACGGTTCGTGAAGGCAGCTGCCGCAGGACTTGAGGTGTTCTCCAAAGACGGAACGCCCGAGTGCAAAAAGGCCTTCGACTTTTATCGTGACCTAGCCAAGACGCACGCGCTCGACGAGTTGAGAAGAACTGACAGCAGCTGAGCCCGAGCACTCGAAAAAGTTGGGGCATGAGACTGCACGCAGTAACCTGAAGCCGGTCTAGGTGTGCGGAGGCTGATGAGGCAGGTTTGATCCTTGTTGATCGTGAAGTCGCAAACCAGGCAAGCTCAAGCAGACGGTCACCTCGCTGGAAGATGCAGCGCAGAAGCTGAAAGTCGGAGGTCCAAAGCCAGACGTCAACTTCTGGGAATGACTCGGGCAAAATCGATGCTGCCCCTGTCAACTTCATGTATTGGGCTTTCCAGAAGATAGCAGCATGGCTGATCACATTTGCTTCCATGTTGCTCGAGAAAGGCCGCAAGCACATGAGAACTGGTCTGAGGGCCTTTGTTTTCAAAACGGTTCTACGATGTAAAGCAAGGAGAAAGCAATCATCTGCGAAAGTACTTGCGTAACAGGCTTGGAACATAGAAGACCTATGAATATCACGCTATATCACTCTGCAGGTGCACAGGTTCCAAACTCATTACTGCGCAATGCCGCATTACACCCAAAGCCGGGGTTGAGGCTTGACTGGATTGCAAGAAGAAGCAAAGACATTCAACAAGATTGCGTCGTCGTCCTCATCATCAGCATCACCATCATCACCCTAACCATCAGCCAGTATCCCTAAACCCTGACCCTACATCATGGACTTGTGTGGGCATTTGCTGCGTCAGCGAGCTGGGAGCAGGTCCAAACTTATAGGCAGGTCTTACGGCGATCACAACAACTATTACTTCTACTGACACAACTACGACGACGACTACTACTACTTCTGAATTCTACTACTACTACTACTACTACTACTACTACCACTACCACTACTACTACTACTACGACGACGACGACGACTACGACTGCTACTGCTACTGCTGCTGCTACTGCTGCTACTACTACTACTACTACTACTACGACTACTAGGCAGGACTACAATTTTCACATTCTGTGCACATTGCCCAGAAGACACAGCGCCTATTTCAGTAGATATGCCACACCAAATGCCTTGAACCCTTGTCTAGCATCGGGGAACACTTGGGAACAAAGACAAGACGTGACTACCCTCAGCTCACCTATAATCACCCAATGCGTTACGATACATATAGTTCCTGCTGCTAGAGTTTCCGCAGGATTTGCTTGCGACTTGTAACTCTTTACAGATTATTCAGATAATTACAGATCTGTTGTGACCTTGATCTGCCAATTTAAAAAAAATCAAATCGATTTGGGATTTTTATCGCAAGATTTAAAATAATTTTCGCTTTCTACGAAAGATATATGATAAAAATACAGTATACATGAATTCTTCCGATTTTTCGTTGCAATGTTTAAATAGTCTTTGATCTTATGATTCTTATTCAAAATAATAGGTTTTCAAGATTATATGATGTTGGATTTGAGATGATGAAAAATGATGATTTATGGTTATTGAATATTTTCGATATTATTTAGATTTATTCGGGTAAGTATTATATTTCATATATTTATTCGTATTATTTTCTTATTTCGTAATTAATATTATATTTAAATATTGGCAAATTGAAAAAATATTGTATTCTTTTACATATAAATATAATTAGGTAATAATTTTTTTTTCAAAAAAATGATGATTTCTCTAATAAAATTAATAAATAATATAGAAATAATATAAATTTTTTAATGAAAGTTTTAGATGAGAATTATATTTTTAATTGGTTTATATTTTTGATAGAAAATATTTTTATTTTTATATATATTTAAAAATTTTATTAAATATGTACGCTTTGAGATTCTTTCTTTAGAAAACAGGTGTGCCGCGGTAATGAGGTTGGGTTTTCGTTGGGTTCCTTTTATATTTCTTTTTTGGGCTCTTGGGTCGGATGGGTGGGCCGTGGCTAAGGAGTTAGGTTTTTATTGGGCTCTTTTTATATTTCTTTTCGGGTCGGATGGGTGGCTTAAGAATTTGGGTTGCCGTTGGGTTCTTTTTATGTTTCTTTCTTTCTGAGGTCTTGGGTCGGATGGGAATGGATGGGCCGCGGCAAAGATATTGGGCTTCTATTGGGTTCCTTTTAGATTTTCTTTCTAGGCTGCTGGGTCGGATGGGTAAGTCGCGGCCAAGAAGTTGGGCTTCCGTTTGGGGTCTTGGATCGGATGGGTGGGCCGCGGTTAGGAAGATGGGCTCCCTTTATATTACCTTTCTGGGCTCCTGGATGGGCCGCGGCCAAGAAGCCGGCCTCTCGTTGACTTCCCTTCATATTTCCTTCTTTCTGGGCTCTTGGGTCGGATGGATGGGCCGGTACAGGGTCTCGTTGGGCTCCCTTTATATTTGCTTCTTTCTGGGCTCTTGGGTCGGATAGACGGAGAAATTGGACTCGTGTTGGCTTCCCTTCATCCTTTTTGGGCTCTTGGACGGATGGGTGGGCCGCGGCCCACGAGTTGGGCTCCCTTCATATTGTCTTTCTGGGCTCTTGGGTGGGCTGCGGTCAAGAAGCCGGCCTCTCGTTGACCTCCCTTCATATTTCCTTCTTTCTGGGCTCCTGGGTCGGATGGATGGGCCGGTGCGGGGTCTCGTTGGGCTCACATTTTCTTCTTTCTGGGTTCTTGGGTCGGATGGACGGAGAAATTGGGCTCGTGTTGGCTTCCCTTCATCCTTTTTGGGCTCTTGGACGGATGGGTGGGCCGCGGCCCACGAGTTGGGCTCCCTTCATATTGTCTTTCTGGGCTCTTGGGTGGGCCGCGGTCAAGAAGCCGGCCTCTCGTTGATCTCCCCTCATATTTCTTTCTTTCTGGGCTCCTGGGTCGGATGGATGGGCCGGTGCGGGGTTTCGTTGGGTTCCCTTCATATTTTCTTCTTTCTGGGCTCCTGGGTCGGATGGGCAGAGAAATTGGGCTCGCGTTGGCCTCCCTTCATCTTTTTTGGGCTCCTGGGCGGATGGATGGGCCGCGGCCAACGAATTGGGCTCCCTTTATATTGCCTTTCTGGGCTCCTGGGCCGGATGGATGGGCCACGGTCAAGAAGTTGGGCTCCCGTTGGGCTCCCTTCATATTTCCTTCTTTCTGGGTCTTGGGCCGGATGGGTGGGCCGCGGCCAACAAGTTGGGCTCGCGTTGGGCTCCCTTCATCTGTTTTGGGCGGATGGATGGGCCGCGGCCAAGAGCTGGGCCCCCTTCATATTGGCTTTCTGGCCTCCTGTGTCGGATGGGTGGGCCATGGCCAAGAAGCTGGGCTCCCGTTGGGCTCCCTTCATGTTTCTTTCTTTCTGGGTCTTGGATCGGATGGGTACCATTGGATTTCTTTCATACGGGCTCTCGTTGTGTTCCTTTCATGTTTCTTTCTTTCTAGATGCTGGGTCGGATGGATGGGCCGCGGCCAAGAAGTTGGACTCGTAGTGGGCTCCCTTCATATTTCTTGTCTGGGCTCTTGGAGTCGGATGGGTGGGCCGCGATCAAGAACCCTTCATCCCAAAACAGATGGGGTGGGCCGCGGCCAAAAGCTCGGCTCCCTTCATATTATCTTTCTGGGCTCCTGGGTCGGATGGATGGGTCGCGGCCAACAAGTTGTGCTCCCGCTGGGCTCCCTTCATGTTTTCTTCTTTCTAGGTCCTGGGTCGGATGAGTGGGCCGCGGCCAAGAAATTGGGCTCACGTTGGGCTCCCTTTATTTTTTTTGGACGGATGGGTGGGCCGCGGCCAAGAATTGCGCCTCCTTCATATTGCCTTTCTGGGCTCCTGGCCGCAGCCAAGAAGCTGCGTTGGACTCCCTTCATATTTCCTTCTTTCTGGGTCCTGGGTCGGATGGGTGCCATTGGGCTCCCTTCATATTTCCTTGCAATCTATTTGGGGGTTTTCGTTCGTATAATATTTTTGTTTTAATATATATTTATGTCGGATATAATAAGAATTCAATATTTTATTTTTTTCCATTGATTCTATTATAATGTATAAATATTTAAATTTATTGAATTTATATATTATATTTGTTGAATTTAAAAATAGATCCTTATTTCGACGCCTTCTATTATTATCGATTCTTACCTAGAGAGCCCAATACCTTTTAATTAAGGAATAT